CTGAGGTCAGAGGTGAACTGTTAATGTTTCCGTTTTTAGAATCAGAAAACAGCAGGATGAGGTGTAACAGTTTAAATTTGAAATGAAGCATATCTCTCTCTCTCTCTCTCTCTCTCTCTCTCTCTCTCTCCATATATATATAGCCTATATATGTATATATATATTTTTATATATTATTGAAGAATATATAAATATATTATTGAAGATTATATGAATTTATCAATGATTAATCTATACTTAAGGTAACTGCAAGCACAAATAGTTTAATTTCTTTCTTTTAGCTGACCACTGTTTTTGCATTGAAATGTTATGAGATGGATTTTAAATGTAAATGCTTGTGGAAAAATATTAATTTTAATTTTTTGAATAATAATTTTCAAAGTGGTCAACATGGAGTATCATTCCAAAATGATTACGTTTGGCATCACCATATTTTACTGTACCCTGCTTGTAAACCTACTTCACTGCAGGTGTGAAATGCACAGAAAGCAAACAGTCATACTTGGACAGATTAAAATAGTGTGGGTGTGTGTGGGTGTGTGTGTGAGTGTGTGTGTGTGTGTGTGTGTGTGTGTGTGTGTGTGTGTGTGTGTGTGTGTGTGTGTGTGTGTGTGTGTGTGGTCTTGCTTTGCCTACAATGTGAGGGAAGTATTTTGAAAAATATCCTACATGCGAGGACTTACAGGTACATATGGTGACATTCAACTGGTCCCTATATGGTAAAGTTCTGCTCTTTGATTTGGGGTTAGGTTTAGGACTAGGGTGTAAATTCAGTTTAGGTTAGGATTAGGTACATCTTAGTCATAGTTAGGGTTAGGGTAAGGGTAGGAGTAAGGTTCTGGGTTAGGCCATATAAAATGAATGCAAGTCAATGAAATGTCCCCAAATATTATCAAGCTGGATGTGTGTGTGTGGGTGTGTGTGTGTGTGTGTGTGTGTGTGTGTCACTTGTCCATTAAAACATTATGTCCAGTAAATATTATCAGCTTTCACTCAGGCAATACAAGCGTAACCCACAACTCAGCCTTGTTAGAAGTACCACGATTCAAATAATAAATTGGAAATGTCTAAACTAAATATTTGCTATCTATTTACTGCCTTACTTAATGTGACAAAAAATACTTTGTTTAAAACCAGTACAATTTTTTAGCTGCAGTATAACACCAAATATGAGTGGCTCAGGATGGCTCAGGGCATGGATGAAATGTTGATTTCAAAAGAGGGGCGGGGGACGCAAGTACTTTATAATATGGCTAACTTCAATGTGTCTGTCCATCCAATCACAGACCCGATTCAGTGGAGTATCAGATGTCTGTAAAGTGAGTTTCTCAGGAATGACAGCGGCGAGAGCCAATCACACAAGAAAAGACGGTGGGCCAATCAGGAGCATGTGGGCGGTCTAAAGTGAAAGTGGGCTTCAGCTTGAGCTGCGGATTTCTGCTTGGTCCTTGTGCTCGACGAAAAGTCTGTGTACTGTAGGTAATATTGTTTTTAGACAGTAAAAGTTGCAGGAGAACAAAACGGTCATCTGAAAAAGGGCAGGGGACATGTCCCCCCTGTCCCCCCTCAAAATTACATCCATGGCTCAGAAGTTTGGTCGGAAGCGTGTAGCATTTGTATCTTAGCTACTGTACTTTTACTTCACTTTCATTTTTTTGCACTCCTCCCACCTCTGGTACCCCGGTAGCAGGGGAGCCTCATTTATCTTAAAAACAAAAACAATACAACCGCACAAAAGTGGCACTCAAACAGTAGACCACTTTGGTTCAGTTTGAAGCTAACATGGGGGGTTGGTGACCTCTGGATAACCTAGAAAATTATCTTTAACATCTCTGAAACAAAAACAGCAGAAATTACTTTAACTGCACAAACCTGCACTGATGAAGCACTAACCATTCAGTCTATTAGACAAGTTTTTTTATTTTTTTTTACGTGGCTGAGATGTCAGCTTCACACAACTCAGCTGCACTAATGGTCACTGAATTGTGCACATGGAACATTCAATGCACTTGTTTAGTTTTATATAAGCCGGTGGTGAATGAAAACATTCAACAGCTATGCACCTATGGAGCATAATATATGCTCAAGGTTCACATTTGTTTTTTCCTGATGCCATATAATAAACACTTAAGAATTAATCTATACTGTTTTTACAGCAGTAGATGCTGCAGAAGTTAAGCATAAAGTGAAAATCCATGATGTCATGAAAAATAATTAATTCAGGTTTTCAAAAAAAGGAAGAGGAACCACAGAGGAAATAGTAGTAATTTGTAACCCAGTTGTCCTTTCTAAATAGTGGGACAGACTGTAGTGTGTGTTAATCTGTTTCATTAATATCCACAGAAATAATGCCGCTGCTAGGGTTAACCTACATTTAATCAGTGAGAGAAATATTTAGCAAGATATTCATACATTTATATACATTAGCAGCTATCTTTCCTCTGTCTGTTCTTTTGTACCATTAAAAAAACAAATTAAACATTTTGACACAAATTCAAATAAAACATTTTATTATATAATGTAAAAACGAAACAAAAACAAAGATGTACATACAACATTCTGCTTAAAGTATTTATAAGTTGCTACCAATTGCAGTATTGTGCTATGAACTACAGAAAGACTGTTTCACCCTATCTATGTTAGAAATAAATGATAATATACTATATAATAAGTAAGAAATAATGATATTAACTACATTTAAATAAATGTTTCGATGCTATATGATTTTTTTTTGTTTTTATGTCCAAAAGATTGGAGGCAGAGCAATGATGGAGGTACACACCACCCCCTGCTGTGGAATCATAGAATCTACATGTATTATCTAGTCAAGGCAGGAAAATATTTCTTGGAGTATATGTCAGCATTAGTTAGAATCACCCTGATTTTCAAGTGCAGTGACAGCAAATTTTTCCTTTCCAGCAGTTTTTTTTTTGTTTACAGTTTTATTAGGGAATCAGACTACAGGTAGTTTATTAGATAGTTAAATCCACTTCAGGTTCTTTAACAGCACCAATTCACAATAATGCTATGCCTGGCAAACTTCCACTGTACTTCTGTGAATTCCTCTCTATTAGCTATGGTATATATTCACTATGTTCCTCAAAGTGGTTGCTTTTATATCTGTGTTGCAATGCAACCGAATTCGGAAAAACAGTTTTTTCTTATTCAGCACATAGGGACTGGAATAATCTACAGAAAGAGCTAAAGTTAAAACCCTTATCTCCATTATTTAAATTAAAACTAATGTAAAAAAAATTTTGATGGAGACATGCTCTAGTTTTTTTCTTCACATTCTTTTACAGCGAAAATATAACTTATCATGTATGCATAGCTTTGTTGCAATTTAGTTGCTACCTTGGTCAGGTCTCTCGTGTAAAAGAGATTCGGACTGTCAATAGGACATCCTGGTAAAAAAGGTAAAAAAAAAAAAAAAGACCCTTAAATCCTTCTTCTCGATCAAGAAAATGTAACAGCTAAAGGTAAATTGAATTAGACAGTCAATTCTAAAGCAATCCCTCATAACTGCGCTAGTATGCGGTGACAGCAGAAGATAATCACAGCCTTTCACAGTTATAAACATTCAGCAGAACATTGGACAGTGTGAGCAAACTGGAGGTTTACAGTAAAAAAAACAGCAGATGCAGAAAGAAGCACCAATGGAGAAGTCCTTTCTATGTGAAAAAAGAGTAAATGAGGGCAGTATCTCTATTGGAGGTTTCATCGGTCTAAGCAAAATAAGTCCCGAGCAGTTTGTTAAAACAATGGGATGAAAATTACTATATAAAGTTTGATTAAAGGCAGCAGTAGCTCCTTCTCTGGCTTTGGCATGGAGTTTGATGGGCCTATATATTAAGAGACATGGCCATCTGTGTCATCTATAGAGAAAAACGATCAAATCAGTGCCTGCAGTAGTTTTACCTTGGCACCCTCCTCTAGCATGGTGACTATCAAACATGGAAAAACAAAAACAAAAAAGTACACCTTACGATAAAGCTTAACTGCAAAGAATAAGTTGGAAGTAGTAGGAAAACGAAAGTGGTACTTAGGTCCTCCAGCAGCCTAAGCATATAGCAGTATAACTACTGAGATAGTTCAGGAAAACCTGAGCCACTCCAACGGAAAAAAGTTTTAGGCCTAGTCTTAAAATCCGTTGGTATCTGTCTGAAAAACTAAGAGTGGAAGCTAGTTCTACAGGACAGGAGCACTTAAAGGATTTACCTCCCATTACATTTGGAGAACCTTTAAGAACAACCAGAAAACCTGCAGTCGGGGAGCGCTGTAGTCCATCCAGAACACAAAGAAGAATAAGAGTCAATTCAATTCTGTTTATTTATATTACCCCAATTCAGAAAATAATTTTATCTCAATGGATTTTGAAGAGACATTTCAATCAAATTATACAGATTGATTAGACATTTCTTTATTAAGTAAACCAGCTGACTGACTTTGAAGAATTGAGAAAATCACCTTCTAGTTAATCACCTAAGGCTTTAAGTGAAAGGAGCATTAAAATATATAATCTGTATAAAAGGAAACCAAGAAGGAAAACTGAAGAGTAAATTAGTGTTTGGCTAACACTCGTCAGATGTGCTGAAGTTGCATATTAAATCAACTTATGTCTTCCTCTAGCAAAGGCTTGAACTCTTCCTTTGGAACTTACATTTGGGAAAAATGTATCTGCTAACAATTTAAACAGAAAAAACAGGGGGAATAAAATGAATATAATTCAAAACAGTTTAGATCCTGATATTCTAAGAGCTGAAGCTGCAACTGTTAGGTGGAAAAGCAGGTGTTTTACTTTAACAACTGAAGGCAACACATTTCAGGAAATTCTGCAAATGTTTCCAAAAAACTGTCTGCAAAAACAACAGCTGAAGTGTCTGCAGTTAATGCAAAAGGTAACAATGAGGCTTGAACCTGGGAAAACAGAGCCCCCTTTGTTCTGCATGATGTTTATCAAATTCTGTTGTTTTAAATGAAACGCTCTGCTGGGTTGATGAAGAAAAACAGCAGCACGATCAGATCAACTTCCTCACTCAGTCCGATGAAGATGTTGTATGTGCAGCTCTCTGTGATCCTTCTCTTCAATCTCAGAGGTGAGTCTGGTTTTACCAACAAAAATAATTAATATTTCCTTTCCTTTATTTGGATACCAAAGACTTCAAAAGAAAACTGAGCTGTACCATTTTAAGCTGATTTTATGTTTGAAAGTTTTTTGAAAAATAGAACTCATGTAAAATCTGGAAAATAAACAGAAAAGATATTATTTCAGTATTTTTGGTATATCGACCAGTTTTCTCAAAATTAAAAAATCTGTGATACTTATTTTTCAGCTTTAACTTCATATTTAGAAACTGCATAAGATTTAAAGACAAAAATTGCTCAAGATAAAAACATTTTAGTTGCTGCAATTTTTGAAATTTGATGTCTTTAAAATTCTTTTTGTTTGTTTATACAGTAGCCACAGAAAAATGAGCTTCAGTGGTTTTGTGTTTAAGGTTTACAGCAGCAGGCAGCCACCCTGCCGGAATCCACCATCCTGGTTGGAGTCGGGGAGGACGCCGTACTGCAGTGCCCCCTACTGGACAGGTACAACGGAACCACAGCCTCCCCTACAGCTGGCCTGGCCACCCTCAGCTGGTACAGGAAGACAGCAGGTCACAGACCCACACTGCTGCTCAGCCTCAGCCCTGTTAACGGCTCCATCGTGAGGTACGGAGATGGCGTCAGTCCGGATAAAGTCTCTGCTGCAGCCAATGGGTCATTGTTGCTGCGGGGCTCTGAACAAACCGACTCAGCCGTTTATTACTGTGGCATCAGTCATGGCTCTGAGAATGGCAAGAACTGAAAACCACACAACCTGAGAGAGAACCAATGAATGAGTTCTTCAGTCATGAATCAGCCCCATACCAGGCCCAGAGAATCCTTAAGTTAAGAAGACAAAAAGATAAAATATCATATAATGAATGGCTTTAAAACATGTTTTTACAGTTCCTGATAATAAAGTTTGTATTTTATTTTTACTTGCTCCTAGAACATAGTTCTATTTGGGCCAAAATGTCATTCCTTCTTTGTTGCTTAGTCCGGTTTTGATAAAAGGGCTTTTATTTAAACTAGATGAGAAAGAGAGAATCATGCTGGTAACAGGAGGTGAAACTGATCTGTTAAGAAAGGACTGTGGCGTTTTAACCATGTTTACTCTGCTGCAACCTACAAAGAAAGAGGCGAGACATTTTGAATTGGTCTTCTTTTAAATGAGTGAAAATAATTTTTAAGGCTTAATTAGCTGTAGATAAAAGAAAAAGTTGCTTTTTACAGATTTGATTTTAGTAAAGGATTTTTTCTCTGTGTGTCTTTTTTGGCATATTATACACTGACTTTTGTTAGATAGGCTGTCTGTGTGATTCTGTATTATTGTTTTATGAGTGCTGGAGAATCAAAATGGCTCCCTCTTCTAATACTTTAACCTTTTTTACTGTTCTATACCCTAAAGTACATGGTTGAGGTAACAAAAGTCAATAAATAAACATATCGACATATGATTTATCTTGTTTTGAAGGCTCATGATTGATAGTAAAATATAACTATAAATTTAGGAACCATATCTAACCTTGCTTTCCTGTCTGAAATTCTACATGTAATCAAAACACTTACATCTTAAGGACCTTTTTGAAGAGTTTCAGTCAGACTTTAGAGCTCATCGTAGCACCAGACAGGGGATTTACCATTAGAAATACTTGCCTAGGGCCCCAAGTTCCTGGGGGCCCCATAAAACTCTGTTTACATGCATGGTTAATACAATTATTCCTTATTTGTGCACATTAATTATGTTTTTGATAAAAATCCTTTTGCTAAATGCCATCAGAATGCTCATATCAAGTGTGTCTCAGCCCCCATGAAAAACTCTTTCCTTCCTTTTGAGACAGCATGAAAAGTCAGTTAAGTACAAAACATTGAGAGGAAAACAAGAAAATAGTCAAGAAGAGAGGGACAATACATAGAATAAATAATGTAAGTCTATTCTATTAAAATTTCTCTATCTGTATAATATATAGGCCCCAAATTTCCTAAAACCGCCTCTGCATAGCATCTAACCAGCACTGGGGAAAGTCACTAATGATATACTCATGTCTTCACATAGTGAACTTGTGTCTGTACTTTTCCTGTTTTATCTCAGTGCTGCATGTGATACAGTCAATCATTATACACTCATAGAAAACCTTAAACATGCTATAGGACTAAAGGGAACATCACTATTGTTCATGCTACTGTCCGTTCATGTTAATTATTAAACTTCAATGTTACTTATGTAGTACTGTAGGGTTAAGTGCAAATGGCTACAACTCTTATATACAGAATATGCCCTTCCAATAAGTTAAACTAACAGTTCGGGATTAATTTCCCCTTTTATGCTGATGATACTCAGAGCTATAGGCTACTTGTCAATAAATCCTGATGAATATAACCCAATAGATAGACTCCTGGTATCTTACAGACATAAAGTCCAAGATTAACTGACATTTTGTGCTTTTAAATACAGATATGACAGAAGTTGTTGTCTTTGAAACAAAGACTAAAAAAGAAACTGCTTGATCAGTCTTCTCATCTTAGCCTCTGATAATAAAGTAAAAGATTTTTGCTATTGATCAAACCTTGCATTTTAAATCCTACATTAAACAGCTTGTTTGGATTTCCTTCACCTCTGAAATCTTGCCAAAATTGAAATATCCTGTGCAGGAGGGTCACTGACACGCTGGTCCACATAATTATTCCTAAATGCTGGACCATAATGTATGGACTAAAACTGGGAGAGACCCCGTCTTCTTTTAGGACTAGGCTCAAAGTCTTCTTTTTTTTATAAACTTTATGTTTAGAGTAGCTATCCATATATTATCCTGAGCTCTGTTTGTAGTTATGCTTCTTTAGGCTCTCTACATATACTGTAACTGGCATGTGAATACCTGCTAATATCTCCAGTGATGGATCCTACCTCATCCTCGGTGTTAGAAACTGAATAAAATCTATTTCAAACCTTAAATGACCAGATAATATTCGTGTCAGATTAATTTGTTCCAAATCTGTGATCCCAGCCACAGTAAAACAGAATGGCTGGCATGAAAATGTTGCAACGGCCCAACTAAAGTTCACACTTCCCCATGGCTGCAATTTATCTTTGGTTCATTCAAAGAAAAGAGGAAAATATCAAACAGTTTCAACTGGTTGGTTAATTTAGTTTTTTTTTTTTATTCTTTATCTGCTGTGCTTGTGCTTGTCAGTCTCTGTCACAATTAGAAAAAAAATCAGATTAAACACAAAAGGCTAAAACAGAAGGACTACGGCAGCTAGAAAAGTATTTTATTCACATAAGGAATATTTCAAGAAACTTAATTCTATTCATTTTATTTTTTCAAAACCAGTGGAATCAACATCAGTGAGAAAATTTCCTGTTTTTCTGCTTTTCACCAACTGACAGAACCAACAGTCGATTTGATCCCAGGACAGTTTACCTCCTCTGGAGACTGATGGCGTTCTGCTCCAGCGGTTTCTGACAGTTCTTTTTCCCAGAACTACTAAAGGTTTCCTGATTTCACTGATAAGGAGCAACAACACACAGCGGATCTGCTGCAAACTACCCTCAACCAACATCTGAGGTAAAACAATCATATTTGTGATTATAATAATAATAATTTGTAGCATGTATTGGACGTCACTAGGTATATATTAACTAGGATTATACATTTCTTTTTTGGGAGAAACTGTGAATTTAAATGTTCTTTATAAAAAAACACTTTTTTCAATTCTATAAACATATTAAAAGAACAAATATTAATTTCATGTGTTTGGTTTAGCAATGGACTATTTTTGTCTATTATTTCTGTTAACTTTACTTAAAATGTTTTGTTGGTAGACCTAAATCAAAATGATTTCCTGCTAAATAATTCTAAATTTAGGGTTACGTTTTAAAGTTGAAATTACATTTTTAATGAAGTAAAATTGATTTCAAAGAAAAAGGATGAATCTTTTGAAGGGAAAAAAATAATCTGCATTATTTTTACAAATATGCATATTTTTCTTTGATAAGTTGTTAAACATAAACATGACTGATAACATATATTTTAAACATAAATTAGTTGTTTTTTTTTAAATTAATGTTTTAAAACAAACCCTTAAATGTTTTTATATCTTTTTTTAAAGATGGATCGTTATTTATATTTTATTTGATTGATTCCAGGTGTAATAACCTAAATGGAGGTTTATAGACCCCAATTTAAAATGTAACTCCAGAGCAAGTTATTAATTATCATGCTTCCACTGCATCTACAGTAAAACAAACTTCTTCTTCAGTGGTTCTATCTTTTAGACCCAGCTATAACTACCTGATAAAAAAACCTTTCAGCACTCATAGAGAGTTGTCCAGTTTTAATGTAATTTTCACCACATCCAGACATGAGATTTAGAGAAAAAGATATTAGTTGCGAGGATCACTTGTCTGGAGTGGAGCAGGTAGTTATCTGGCAGTTGCAGGAGCGACTGTCAGTCAGATAAAACAGTGAGTGAAGGTTAAACACAGCTTTGGTAGCGTTTGATAAATATTACAGTTGAATCACAGTATTATGTTGTTGCAAACAGATGCCATGTGTCTCGTTGCATCGTTTTGTTGAAGGGTCCACTTCACAAGGATAACTGCATAATGCAACCACCCACTCTCGTGCAGGAACATACTGTGTGCATTTTTAGTGCTGTTTATTGCATGTAGGAGGGAGTCATTGACTCTGCTGTGCTCCAGTCTTCTTGTTAATTTACTGTTAAAAAACATCTGAAGAACATAATGCTGTCTCTCTTCTCATGAGCTCATTACTGATACCCTCTGGTGTTCTTTACAGAAGCACCAGCTGATTAATGTGCCCAAAACAGGCCTGAATATGGACCATTAGATCATAATGGTCCATTTCTAGATCATTAACCCTCGCTTTGTGTGTTTGTAACGTTCTAAAATAATATTTGAAGGACTCTATCTAATGTTCTGAATTATCTTTACTTGTCTGATAGAAGGAAACAAGGAGGATTGTTCTTCAGGATGGACTCTCTCAAGATCTTCATTATGCTTCTTGGGTGAGACTCTGCAGAGTGAAGTGCTGCTGTCAAACGCCTCATTTATACATCCTGGTTAAATGCATCCCTCTGTATTCTGGTACTGAAGGTGTTGGACTGTTGAATCTTTACCAACAAGACAGTCAGTCCAATTCTCCATGGTGTTCAGTGATGGAACGTATCTCCTAGTGAACGTCAGGAGAGAAACAAAAGGTTTCCTTCCTCTGAGAAACACAACAGCAGGTATACAACAGAGATTTTTCTTCTCTGAGACAATAATCAGCTTTCGATTTCATTCTTTAGGAGTTAGACCAAGTAACTCTATTTAAGTAGTTTTTTTCAGTATCTGCTTCAGTTTTTATTTTATTCATTGCATTTGAACACAAATAACGGTACTTTCTACTCTTTACTTCCACAAAACTGGCTCGTTATGTGTTTAGATATTCATAATGACATGATGTAATAGCTGCTTCTTCCTTTGTTAGATTTTAGATTTACACGTTAATTATGATTCCAGTGCTAGTTGCACCTTTAATGCAGTGAATGCCAGTGCCATAAAAATATTCTGCAATTTATGCAGGAGTTCTGTTTACTTTAATCTATATTATCATGTCTGTAGAACAAAACTAGTCAGGGTCAGTGCTTTTATTTTCTTTCTATCAACACAGTGAGAGAAAGGTGAAAATAAACTAATTGCTTAACTGCTTTTAAAAAGGATTTTGTATCATTTCACTTTCATACACAAGCACAATGTAAAACCTGTAGTCTTTTCAGTTAAACATAGATAAAGAAGCCCAGTAAGTACTTAAACTTTAACCATAGTCTTCTTTTGCACATCTAATTTTACTCAAATATAGAATGTGAGTTTTCCTACTTCGAACAGCAGCAGCTTATAAACATAATAACTACAATTTAAGAGAAGACAAATTAATTCAATTTCATATATATATTTCAAATACGATAGACAATAAGTAACAGCAAGGAAGAACAGATGCTATTAAAGTTGATTGAAAGGGCGCTGCTGTTACTTCTGAAACCTAAGGAACTCCTGAAGACTATTTGTGTAGACTTGGTTGAATTTCTTCATTAGAGTATTTTCTTGAAAATAAGAAAGGCATTGAAAAAACTCTTGGCAGAAATTCCTTAACTAATTTTCTACCTTTTAGGTTCCTCTGGTGCTCCGTCAATACAGATATTAAGATCAAAACATTTCTCAGAAGATCCAGAATCTCCTCGCCTCCTGGTATGCCTCCTTAAAGGACTGGCCTCACCTTGGCAACATGTTCTGTGGTGGATTGATGACATGCCAGTAATATCATCAGGTGCTAAGGGCCCTTGGATGAAGTCAGACCAGGGCTACAGCGCCACCTCAGTGTGGGAGCTATCAGCTTCGGCCTGGAACTCCACATCTTCACTCTGGTGTGGAACGATCCAAGAAG